CCAGGACAGGTGCTGACCTCGGGCTCTAGCTCCTCCTGGCCGAAGATCCAGAAGGAGCCAGGCAGGGTTATTTTGCCCCTACTAGCACAATTTGCTCCACAACAAAATGCATGTCCGAGCATGTGCGCTGAGGCAAATAGCCCCAGCTCAAATTTGCATCGCTTCTATTTGAGCTGCTGCAAGCGCACGTGTTTGCATGTGTGGACGCGCCCATAAAAACTACTCAGATCCTTTCCACTGACATTCAAACTGGTAGTCACGAAAGCATCTTTACACATGCTCGGGGGGGGGGGTAGCATTTTAATTAGAGTGATTCTAATTAACACACCCACAGCATCTCATGTATTCAGCATCCCACACTTCAAAATGTAGGTGGGGGCATTTGAACTAGTTAAAGAGCCCCCACCACCATTTTGAAATGCAGGGATGCTGAATACACACGATGCCAAGGCTCGAATCGAGTCTGCTCAGACACATTCTAATTAGAACGCATTGGAAAAGGCATTGGGCATGTGTATAGGTGCCTGAAATCAAGATTTACCTATTAATTTGTCTACTTCACATCTCTTCCCCAACCTCAGAGAAGCAAGAGTTTGAATTTGCACTTGCTTTATAAAAGAGTCTATAAAACCCAAACCTCTCACGTCATCGAGCCTCCATTAACTAACGGCACTGAAATTCTCAAAAGCAAAATGAAAAACACATAGTTGTACACCCCGTCATTGTACAAAAGCATGTCTGCCATAAATACCATTGACAAAATGCTTTTCAAAGTTGCTGTTATAGCCAGTGCAGCGACACCATTATATAGGCAGCTAGTAGGTTCTCGCTGCAATCCTGCAGAATGAAAACATTTAAAGCAATGGCAAGCTTCAGGAAGTGCTGTTACATCCACCCACATTTTTGGTGGCAATTGCTAAACATTAAACACTTCATGACCTGAAAGACGATGGAGAGGTCAGTTACCATGCGAGAGAAGCAGACTTGAGAGCACGTTTATCTCTACATTTGCTTTTAAAACAACATCATTCCATTACTTTCTTCACTCCACTTCCCCATCCCTCATACTTCCCAGAACAAGATACACATTTTCATTATCGATTGCATCTCCTGGCACTGAAAGGAGTTTTTATCTTTTACTTACAAAGATGCAAACTTTTCTCCTCTTGCAGGTAAACCCTCCTTCAGATGGGAAATAAAATTATAATGGCATTTGAAATGTCAAGCATCAAAATTGACTCACAGGGGCCTAGAATTAAAGCTGCATCTATACACTTCTAGTAAATCTGAGTCTTTAGAGGTAAAAGTAGGGAAAAGAATGTCACACAAATAAATCCTATTATATAATAGTTCAGTGATTATTTCCTTTTTCAAAGCTTGTTTTCTCACCAGTGTTAAAGCAAAATGCCTGTTATCCTTTCTACAAGCCAGAAGAAGAAATCCATGAATCACTATTTAAAAAGCAAGGAAACTTTTAAATTAGAATCCTTCCTGGGAATTTTTCTTTTTGCATTCCAGTTTCTCATCTAAAACATCAATTTAGTGCTCATGGAAAGTACCACTTAAAACACTGGAGGTCCATGTTTTCTATTTATCCTTGGACAAAATTCTTGTTATTTATTATTTATTGTGGGTAGTGCCCATAATCTTGAAGACATCTTACATACATAAGACAACTTGATTTTATTTTATGATAAAGTCGCAGCACAGAAAGGGACACACAACATGCAAGCAAAATGTTCATAGTAATGACTGAGGAGCATCTTGTTATGTTTTTCATTACAAGGAAGCACATCTCGGTGAAATAGTAAGGGGATAGGTGGGGAATAAGTGTAAGTGAGAACAAGGAAAAAATGGAAGAGGGTCCTTTGGAATAGGAGAACAAAACAAGTAGAGGAAAGGATGGAGAGAAATATGGAGGCCAGGAGGAAAGAAGTTGGCTGTGAACTGAGAAAAAGAGAGAAAAGAGCCAATCAGAATACAGAAAAGAAGACTGTGTCCAGGGCATCCAGAAATACAGGGGCAATCCATGCTTCTGAGGAAAGAAGGGCAGTTGTGTTTTGGTGTCCATGGGCTGTGCCCCCAAAGGAGAGTTCACCTATTCTGGTCCAACCTATGCTACGGAGATCCCAACAAGGCCTCCCCCTTTGCTTGTTGTAGAAACAAAATAAGATTGCCCCACTACCGTCACTCTCTCTTTAAAGAACAGGAAATGTCCCTTCCTTGCACCTCTTCCTGTTGGATTGTCACTAGTAATGCTTCATTGATACCATGATTGGTAGACACGTACATTCAGAAATACATTTTTACCACCATATCATCTGCAAAGGTAGCACCAGGGCAAAAAACACACCAAAGTTCAATCTGTATGCTCTTACCCACCACTGCTCTCATGGGTGAAGCTGCACCTACAGTAGTGCAACATTTGCTAAAAGCTCATGCGGGGCTATGTCTGCAGAGAAGTTTTAGCAATTCTGACAGGGACCAATGCTTGCTGTCATCTTATGATTATCAGGTGGCCTCTGATAAAATTATTTTGTGGCTTGAATCCAACTACAGATGGGCACATAGTGAAATCTACCATCACTGCTATTTTTTCAGTAGGCCTGTAGCTAGACAACCAGAAGTTTGTGACTGTCAGGGTGGTACAGTTCTCCAGAAGAAAGAGCCAGATGCACAAAACAACTTTGATGCTGCTACATAATTTTAGGTGTGTGGCCCTTAGACTAAAATCCCCAGGCCTGAGTTGGGCACCTATGCTTCCTACTCAAAACCAGGTGAGAGCTAAAGGGGATCTCTAACAACCCCTAGGCTGAGTGGAACATTGCTTAAACTAGCCAACAGAAAATGCTGAAGAGCAAGTCTTACACTTCACATCTCTGGGAGCTTAGATCCCTCACTTTGGGATAAGGAGAGGCACCTGTCTAACTTGGGCTTCAGTCCTGAACCCTTCCATGGAAACCTGCAGTTGGGTGCCTGAGCCATTTCTATCACAAGCCACAGAAGGGGGTGTCTCTCCTTTCTTTTTAAAATACAGCTAGACCAGGAGTTGGTGGTACATCTCCCCCTTCTGCACAACACTCTAGTTATGATAGCGCTCACCCAGGTTATAAGTCATGCAATACAAAGTACATGATCTGTACATGGGTGTTGGCTGTAGCCGTGTTGGTCTAAGGACATAAACAGACAAGGTTCTTTGGGTAAAACTGGTATCTTTTATTAGACCAACTAAATAGTTGGAAAAAATGTTCTTTGCAAGAAGGTTGTTTGTACCCAAAAGCTTGCAAGGAACAATTTTACAACTATTTAGTTGGTCTAACAAAAGACCTCATTTACCCAAAGAACCTTGTCTGCCTATGATCTGTATATGAATCAGGGACTCCAATCCACATCCTGCCTCTTCCCAGGTGAGTGCCATAATAGCATGGATATTTATATTTTAATAAGTATGAATAGTCATGTTCATACTTTCATCCCTTGGTTCAATGAATCTTGTATCCTTCTAAGTAAAGTGTAACAGTTTCAACAAAAGGGGTGAAGATTGCCCTCCCCATCCTAGAGTAGCTGATAGCTTGAATAATCTCCTGGGAGTGGGTAGATGTTGATTTAAACCCTCTCAGCTAGCAGAAGTAATTGAACCTCAGCCTCTTTGAAGGGACACCACTACCACCTCCTACTACTACTACTCCAGCTGTGCTTTTGAATAAAAGTTTCTCTGACTGCCAGTTATTTTATGGAATCCAGTCTTGTAGGCACACCACCCGGGTCCCCAGGAAATGGCTGGTGTGATGATTACATTATGCTGAGCTGTCTTATAAGACTGATAAGACTGTGGCGAACCTAGGCATGCTCACAAGCAGAACCCAAAGACCCTAGCAACCTTCTCTGACAACAAAAACTTAGTATATATGGATGTAATTGCCTAAGGAGTTGGAAGCGTTTTCGAGAATCACACTCTTGGACTTGATCAGCATTTAAGCACCTACTCTTCTGATTCTGGTGGTAAATGCAGACAAAATGTTCCATAAATCATTCCCCAAAGGGAATTCTTAATACCGTGATCTCCTATTCTCTTCTCACTTCTTCCCCGTGCCCCTCTAGAGGGTGTTTTGTAAAACAGTGGAGACAGATGTGTTAAATTAGGTCAAAGAGTAAAGGAAAAACTTAAGCAACTGCATAAAATCCACAATTTTAGATATTGCAAATGTTAGTAATTTACTGCTGTGCTTTTGAATGCTGCCTTGTTCTTCATCATCATATCCTGTGGTTCAAACGCTGCTGCTGTCAGAGAAGAACTTATGTCTATTTAAACTCACTTTTCAACATTTCAGAACCCTTTTAGTCATTCGGGGTTGCTATTAATTACCACCCTCATTTATTTTATATTTTCTCATTGTGTAGGGCAATTTATGAATCTCCACATTGCCTGCAACAAATCTAGACTCACCGCTTGACAGGTAGAAAGAAATTTATAGGGCATTCAGAATCAACCACATTATGTTTACTTGCTAATGAGATTTATTCTGGTATGTTGTTTTATTTATAGTGCACTGATTCAGAACCTACACAACCATTAAATGATAGCTTTTATCTGGCCAGTTTTAAATATTTAAAATCTCTTCTCAGAGCTACTAAGGAGAAGAAAGCTAAATATGGTTAAAGAAATAAAAGTTTTGTTACAAACACAATATAATGGGCCTCAAGTCTCAAAAGATGATCTCAGAAATGTGATGGAAAAATTGCAAGATGCTTCAATAGGCATCTTGGAGTTTACCTGCTTCTCCATAAAATAAACTCTTGAGGCCTGAATCTGCTCTAGCAGCAATATCACTCCATTTATTTCAATCACGTTCATACTAGTGTAAGTGGGAATCAGAAGAATCATATTTCTCCTAACATTTCCTCTGCTTTGTCTCCCTCCATACACATCATTCTCCCATTGCTCTGTCTCAACTTAAGCTTATTCCGACCTTTTGTCTTCACCTTCACAGCCAACTTACCGTACTGTGACTGAAGAACTGCTCTTCTCAGCCTCAGAGTGAAGCTGAATGCTTGCCTTCTTCCTCCCCTTCACCTTTCTTTGCAGAAGCAGCAATCAGCATATGAAGCAGCAGCTGGCTTGGTAGGTTCAACAGCTCTTAGCTGCCTCTGCCCTCCAGTCTGCCCTTAAAAAGTAAAGCTTCTCACTCCACACAGTTGGATACTGAACTTCCATGAACCATATCTTTGGCACTCCTGAAATTAAATTTACAATAGTCAGGATGGATTTATGAGAACTTCACATTCTACGTCTAAATGTGGCCTCGCAAACCTCCAAGTTCAATTAAGCATCCTACTCAGCAGTCAGACAGACCTCCCCGGGGGCTGGTGGAAGATGGCATTTCTCAGGGGACTATAACCACCTCAACTCAGAAGGGTGGAACTGCTTGGGGAGCTTTGTCATTTCCATTCCCATCTTCCAGTTCAAC